GGTAGATGTATGATGATACCGTCAAATGAATTTAATGTAAAATGTTAATAAAAAGTAATGTAAATAAATTGATAAGTATTGTTGCTGTGGATTTTTGAGTGGGCCGACCTTGCTTACTATGAGGAGGACAAAATCAGGAATATCGTTAGTTTTTTTTATACGGTAACTTCAATTCCTTTTGACTAATCTTTTACCATAGAATATTCCGCGGAATCTTTGAAATAAGACGAGTTCTAATTTTTGATAAAAAAATACCAAAACCGGTAATACTTACGTTGTGGGAGAATCAAAATCAAGATTAATTCAAACTTTTAGAGTTTTATTAAAATAAAAATAGATAATATTTTCCCAAATCAGGAAAACAATACCATTTAATCTTATCTTTGTCAATCTAAACTTTTATCCTAAAGGTTTTATAAAATAAACTTTTGATTAAACTAATTTTTATTCTACTATTTACCTAAACAATATAATAAAAATACTAAAACAAAGAGAAATATACATCAACCAAAGAGATTGAATATTTTTATTATCAAAAACTCTAGTTCATCTAGAGGTTTTTAATTAAGAATAAACAAAAATTTAGTTTTTCATATCTATTTTTTTGTTTTTTTCTTCCACATTGTTTCTTCCCAAACATCTACTTTCGTTGAAGCAAATCCACATAGTTCTCCTCGTCATCATCTCCGCAGTTCCACCAATTATGTTTTGTCATGTCAAATTCGTCTCTTCGCCATCATCAACATAGAAGATTTTATTGTGTTCCAAGGTCCATGAATCAAGATGAAATCTTTGAATTGAACAATTGAATTCCTCAAAAGTCAAATCCTCTTACTATTAAAACCAAAATGCAATTACTGAAAATGTTTAGTTGTTTTAATTGATTGGCTTTCTTAACAAAACACTATGACAAGTCTTTCCAAAGAATAGTGACATGTCTTTCAATAAACGATGACATGGATATAAGATACTTAAGTCATTGAAGATTAATATTAGATAATCAATAATAAAAAACTTTGCAATAAAATGATTTTTAT